CATATAAACAACATTTTAATGACAACTGAAGGTGACATAGTTACTTCATTATGGTATAGAATTTAAATAAATACCTGAGAAACAAATAATTTTGCCTCTTTAATATTATACTACAGTTTAATTTATCCATATCTTACCCATTGTATTATTGTTTCGGGAGCTAAATTTCTAACTCACTTAAACAAAATATTTATTTTACAGAAAAATGTTTCTGAGAATAGTTACTTTTTCTAAGCTTGAAAGCCCAAATGCACTTTTATTTTATGAATTAAAACTGTTGAATACTTTTGATATAAACACATTTCTCACTTGCACATTTGTGTTTAGAGCACTCTATAATGATAATAATTGGTCTTCCTACATTAAAAGTTATTTTCATTTCAACTCACAATTTACTGTGTGCAGACTTTTGTCCATATCACCCAGTGCATAAGTGACACATGAATTAAATGAGTGACAGCTTTCACCTTCATCTGTGAACGATAATGTTGATCAATAACATTTAAAGACCTCAGTTAGTGCTTCTAAATTTAACAGGTGCTAATCCAMTAATGGGTTTAAAAATTAGCAAAAACCCTAAAGCACTAATCAGTAAATTAGTTCCCCTATTAGTGCTTTGGTGCTTTAGGTGAACTGTGCCATCCACTGCCTCCTGGTTACTGAAGAACACACAACACAACACAACACAACACAACACAACACAACACAACACAACAGAACCTTCACAACAGGAGGGTTGGGCTGGTTGAGCTTGTTTTTGTAGTTTAATAAATAAGCATTTTACTGAACAGAATCATTTCTTCCAGAATAACCTTTTTAAATCTCTGTCCAACAGTAAGTCCAGACATCGCATCAACAGCGCCTTCCTTCTCTCTGATTCCACTCTGGAGTTTGTTGGCATCTATCCCACCCTGGCAGCCCCCGTGGCCCCTGACACCCCTCCGTGGCTCATCGCGTTTGGGGTGGTGATAGGCCTGGTGGGCGCCGGCATCGTCTTCCTGCTCGTGTCCACCGTGGTGGAAAAGAAACGGTGAGCTGGTGACTGCGGTCAGATCAGAGCTCTCTGCTGTAACRTGCTTTACTAACTGAGCTCTAATTCCAGCAGGAAGAAGAAGAAGGCAGAGGAGAAGGAGGAGGATGAAGAGGCCAGGGTGAAAACAGTTGAAAACGGCTCTACGAGTGACGGAATTTATAACACAACGTTCTCAGACGAGGATCGATTCACAGAGATGTAAGAAGAGTCTCCCATGTCAGGAATAAGATGTTAAAAATATTCAAATGTTAAGCTGCTCYCTACAGAATTTGACACTATGATCAGTATGTGCAAGAAAATAGTTTGACTAATATATTTGCATCTTTTTATTGTTTGTTTAAGATGCTACCTGAAAAAACTTTGTTAATTTGTGCCAAACCTGACACATAAAACGTATTTCATTGATTGAATTTTTGAAACATATTTTCTTTTGATTAAAATCCAATAAATAAACTATTTAACTGTATGTAAA